CATGACAAACCATTGCTCAGCTACTTTGTGGTACACCCGTGCGTATGAGTAATATGAATAATCCGTCATGTGCAAATGTATGCAAAAATTATAAAAAGAAAGAATGTCATTTCAGTTAAAAAGGACTATTCTTAATTTATTTGAAAAGCAGATTAAATTATAAATGAGGAAATGTGGAAATGTGGAAATGTGTGTCCGTATCTTATTTTATAACATCAAAAGTGTGTAATAAATTTTATTTCTTTTATGTTTATTTTGCAATTATATAGCAAATAAATTTAAAACATATTATTTAAATTTTTAAATTTCAAAATTTAATATTAAATTAAAAAACTTACAAGTAAGCACCAAAAATATATGTTATTAAAACTAAAATATTAAATATTCTTATATGAGGTAAAAAAGAAATTGAGAATAAATTAAGTAAAGAACTATAAAATATTAAATATTAATTAAAAATATATTAATATTTTTGTACAACATTTTTGTTTATTATTTGTATATTATTTTAATTATTTATATAAATCTAATTTGTTTTATTTTTCAATTAAAAAATAAATGTCAAATCTTCATGGTGTTCACTAACTTAGTTAATAATTGAATCATTATAATTTTAAATAAATATGAAAGAAAAAACTTGAAAAAAAAAAATAGTAGTGAACTATAACAAAAATTCATTTTGTATTATTATAATTTATTGAATTTTTGGCTTATCATACAGCTGTATTGATTATTCCCAATTACTCACAATCTTGGAAATAATTCTTGTATTTAATTATACGTAAATATAATTAAATATAATTAGTAAGGAATCAGGAAGATTATTGATGATAGGTATTCGGCAATACTTGATACAGCTGTAGGATTAGCCAAAAATTCCATTAATTGAATTAATATAAGAAGAATTTTGTGGTTGTAGTTCAATACTTTTCGAAGAATCTCTTTATAAAAATTGAAATACAATTAAATATTTAACACAAATTTATAAGTGTAATTTTTATTTTTAAATTAAATAAAATTAATCAATTTAATTAATAAATTTAATTAATTAATTTTACTAAATTAATCAATTTAATTAATAAATTTGATTAATTAATTTTATTTAATTAATTAATATTATTTAATTAATTAATGTATCAATTAATTAATTAATTTAATTAATTAACGTGTTTAATTAACGACTTAAACACAGTAATTGTAAAAGAACATATGGTAAATTGGTCATAATAACGATTTATTAATTATTATTTTTAAGTCCACAACATAAAGTACAGTATAATGCTATATAATAATACTTGGTATGCTATTGTGGAAATGTATGCATTGTTTAATTGAAATCAAAGAGAAAAATGATTGTAAATCATAAATTTTATATAAAGAATTTATAAAAATAATAAATAAATTATAAAATTAATCATAAAATCGTTTCTGTTTGTGCTATGGACCATCTGAGGTGCATCAATTGTAATTGGAATGCTTTCCAGTTGCTTTATCTGTACTCAAAAAAAATATGAAATTTATTTCGCACAGTTGGTAATGCAATTTCATTTTTATTTCTGTTTTTTTACTACACAAACTTAAGTTCAATATATTAAAAATGTTATGATTTATGATTTAAACGTGCAAACCATTTGCAATAATTTTTAAAATAAAAAATCGCACATAAGCAAACCGAATTTCGTGCTTAATTTTCCCTTGGAAAAAATTTAAGAAGGATTTATTGAGTTGTTATCTAAAATGTCTGCCATTAGGGACATCGTTAGACTAGATTGAGCATTTAAGTTTTATGTGAATATTATACGGAAGGATTTCATTTATGCGTATGAGTATAATGTGCTTCTCGATAGCAGCTGTACTATATATATATATATATCTGTTTGGCTGCTATCAAAACCAAACCAGTGAACTTTCTATTTAAATTTGTGTTCATATTTTTTCACAATATTTTTTCTGCTCAGCTGTTAGTAAATTAAAATAAATGTTGTTTTAAGCACATATCAACTGCAACTTTATATTTGCATTTTTTTTCTATTTACATTTACATTTACATTTCATGGTCTACTGGAGTTTACAAAGAAAATATGTGCTGGATCGGATGGTCGATTTCATTTTCCATGTAAATTTTTATAAATTCCGTTTTACTTGTATCTCAACCATTTGTTGCACTGAGGCAGATTATAACTCACTCTACCATCTACGACACCAGCAGCTACAAATAGCAATTTTCTTTCTTTTGATTTAAATAACAAAACACAGAATTTCCAAATTTCCAAAATTTTCGGCAACAATTGTTTTAAGCAATGTCCGGAGAGCAAATGCAAATGAATTGCCGTTTCCTTCTAGAATATTATATATACCAGAAAATTAGCTTCTGTCAACATGAAGTCAAACTATTGCCAAATACAAATAACAAAGTAACCAAATAACAAAATAACAGAATTAAAATGTAACAGGAATTAAGTCCGAGAGTATTTCAATTTACTTAAATTTCATGGTCTTTACGTAAACATTTTTATGAAATGCTTGTAAGTTATTTTATTATTCCATTGAATTAATTTTCCATTAAAAATGTTTTTAATAATTAAAGTTTTATCATTTTGCTTTACTTTGAATTTAAGTTTTCTTTTTGTAGAAATTTTCGTGTACTGCTTCAGGGTCTTTTGGGTACATAAATCCCGGTACGCCCACTTACTCGTGTTCATAAAGTAAAATATTATTAAAATAAACTTTAAAAGGAAAACCATAATGTCAGTAGCAAATTTTGATTGTATTCGTATGACTGTGATTAAATGAGATTATTTTAACAAAAAACAAAAAAAAAAACAAAAAAAAACACAAAATTTGGAAGGCTTTAAGTCAAGTTAGAAAATCTTGTCAACCATTGAATTCTTTAAAAATAGCTTTTTCGGTGGTAAAGAACACACACAAAATTATACGAAAATGACTTAAATATAAATCAAAAGAAAATATAAGTTCAACTTACTTGTTTTAAGACCTAAACCCAAAATGGAAAGGTATTTATGACAATTAATAATTTTATATTTTTTAAAATACCCAGCCTTGATCTTAGCGAGGAGGAGGTCACTGGGTCGAAAAATATTCCCCCTTTCTGACATTAGAAGGTCCTCAACGGCCGACATTTTGGCTTTCATCCAAAAGGCGGAATGTCTGCTGTTCGGTTAGGGTCTGTTGCAGCACATAAGATCAATCATGGTCACAGTGGGAGCTAGTACCCCGTTTATTCCTATCCTATTCTATTTTTTAAAATATATAAAAAAAATCCAATTCTAAATCAAATATCTAATTTGACAGGCAAAAGTTCTAAACCTGGTACTTGCAGTCAAACAAATTATATACGAACGATAAACTAATTAAATTAAAATTCGATTATTTCTTAAAATCACTGATGATGAGTACTGGGCAATACTTGAAACAGCGTAGTATGGTCAATCAAATATCAAAAAATAATTAAAATGTTTGTTGTCGTTGTTCCTTCATTGAACCCTTCAAACTTATAAATAGCTTCTCGTCACATTCAAAACAGCGTAGTATGGTCAGCCAAATATCAAAAAATAATTAAAATGTTTGTTGTCGTTGTTCCTTCATTACTATTTGAACCCTTCTAACTTATAAATAGCTTCTCGTCACATTCAACAAAAAAATTAACTTTTAAAAAAAATACATTCATTGTACAATGAAATATATCTAATATTATTATTAATTAAATCATACAACATATGGTTAAAATTTATGTTATCACCTTAGAAATAAATCCCATTGAGTGTGAATGAACTGTGCTAGAACTAGACTCAATTTCTCATAAAATGAACAGATTTAAATAAGGCCGTCATGTTTTTTTGTACTGAAACGAATCAGATATTTTCGTTGCGAGAATATTGCAGGTATAATCATACCTTTCAGCAATCGCTTTCGATCATTAAGCTGCCGCTTTTGTAAATATACCCAATAGTATGCATACAAAGAAAATTTTATAGAACTAATGAATCTATTTAGCATAACGTACTAAAGCTTATGGGCCTCTGGAAGTTATAGACGTCTTAACACATTTTAAAAATTTTATTAACGTTTATAAAATCCCAAAACTTAGAACACATTTCAACATTCCATCGCCATATTTCGAAATCCACAGCGGTTATGAAAATATAAGTTTATCTCAATATTTTATTATTCATTAACCCCCTAGTATAAATGAACCTAATAGTAAAACCACTTTTTATTTATTATACATTCCCGTAAATTTAATTCTCTTAACAAAGACTTATGAACACGTTTAAACTCTCGACTCTACTATCCAAAAGCTACAAGTTGCTCAAAGTCAGGCTCTCCGAAGGTTCTTCAAAGTATCATGGTACATCCGCACGAATGACATGCTAAGATACCTTAGAATTGATCCGGTCAAAAAATACATAAGGGACAGTGCTCTAAAGCTATATGCGAAAACCGACAGGCTGCCCTACTTAGCACTATCTAATCTCAGAGTAATCACTAACCGCATTGGGCGGTACGCAGATCTTAGATCAATCATTGAATAATCACGAAGATTATTAGGAATACTCAAATTCAGTGAGAAGGACGGAACTCTGCAGAATCCCCCAGCTGTCATAGAGTAGAAGTGCCCAGATGCACTAACTCGGTAAAGGCTTAACATAATAATATAAAAAAATATAGATAAGTTGAGTACCAAAATTTCATTTAGATCTATGAAAACATGAAGATGTAACAAAACCATATTCAATTAATTTAAAATAATAAGAGTATATCCATCTCAAGTTAGTAAACCATCAGTCAGTCGAAACTGGAAACGTTTCTGGACTTTAAGATAATTTAATTTATACTAGCTTTTTAAATATGAACTGACATAAAAATCACTTCCTTTAATATATATCATTTCTATATTTTTTTAGTCTTCAATAAACTGTCATTATTCAATTTTTAAAAATCTAAATCAAATTTTATTTAAGAAGTTAAAAAGATAGTCGTAGAGAAATTTTTTCTTAACTGTTAGAATAGTTTAAATTTCTTTCTTTAAGTGAAAATAGATCTGACCAATGGATATAAGAAAGGAACTAATTGGATCTTATATAGTTGTCTGTTTGAAAGACAATACGAAGTATTATGGTCAAGTCAAAAATTTTGATAACAAATCCATTTGTCTGACAAATGTAGTTGTTAATGGTAAACCATATTCCTATCCAGAATCGGTGAAAAGTATTTCGTAAGTATGAAGTAATCATAAAATGGTTTTTTTTAACTTCATATATATATAATTTATCGCATACGACAAGAGGTTAATAATTATTTCCGTTAAAAGTCACGACTCTTATTATTGTATCAAAAATATTAATTTGATCTAAACCAAATACAAATATGAAAGTTGATATTGAAGATATAATGATTTTCAATATAAATAAGATATTAACGACTTACAAATATAGTACAGAACAATGTTCTCCTACTGTAGCGATAACGCTTCTTTAGCTAGGAGAAGATGAAAAATCTTCGGGGCCCCTTTTCTCATCGTTTTGACCGAGCTGTCATCCTTTGACCTAGCTAAATTTTTATCAGGTTGCTTTTCCTTCAACCTGAGGAACGATGCTGACTTCAATCAGTAGTACTACAAAGGACCATTATTTGAGCTCAAGTGGGTTTTTTGGAGACAAGACCGCCACTCCAACCTACTTAGTGATATTTTATTCCCATGGATATGTGTAGAATATGTATTGAATATGTATAGAATATATATTCTATAAAGTATCACTAGGCGCAAAAAAAAACTGTTCCAAATAAATGATGACTATAGTTGTGATAATTATGCTGAATAAAATTGTGGCCTTATTTAATGCGACTTAATATTATTTAACATATAGGACCGACCTGATAAAAAGTTATGAAGTGTTAGATTTAACTGAAGGTAAAATACGTGAATTTCGCACAAAAGAAAAGAATGCAAAGTTTGCAGTATCTGATTCACATGAAGCAGATGATAAGAGTGCTAGAATCAAGCTTAACATGAAAAGTTTTGTTGCAAGTTATGACGAAAAATGGCAGCAAATGTTTCCTAAACAATATGAAGAGAAGAAAAGAGCCATGGAAACTGCAAGAAGTAATCCTAAACACTGTTATTTTGGAATAAATGATCCTAACGTAGAGTTGAAACCAATTTGGAGCTCTAGTGTTTTGCTTAGTAATGGCCTAATCTATCAAGCTCTACCTAAATGTAAGCCAACTGGTGTTTCTAATATATTTGACTGCTTGCGGAAATACACTGAACCAGGCAAATCTGAAGAACGTCTACCTTTCTTTAATCCATTCAAATACAAGCCACTGGATTTAGTTAACAATGAATGTGATGATCAAATAGCCACTGAAGAGCAAGATTCAGGTAATGCTTCTGTAACAAATGAACAGAAGGAGTTTGATTTTATGTTAACTAAGTTAAGAACAATGGGATGTAATACGAAGACACTTCTTGATGATGAAACTATAAAAGAAGCATACGACAATATACTTGCAGAGAAGAAACAGGCAATGCTCAAGGCACAAAATGAGAAAGACAATATGGCCAAATGCTCTGCCGGTAAGTGAACATCAATGGAAATATTTTTGCGCTTTATTATATTAAACAAATGTATTTGATTTATAGCTTCATTGGGTATGCGTCCAGAGATGTTCGAAACAAAAACTGGTTTCACAATTCCAGCAATCCGTTTAGCTGAACGTACCGAAATCGTGACACTTATGAACCGTTCATTGAGGAATGACAATGTGAATACTCTAATTAGTCACTGTATTTTCCGCAGCTTATTGGAAGTATGGAAATGCAATGAAAATAATGTTAAACAATATCCGGATGTAGTCGTGCTTTGTGCAGCAAATGCTGATGCCAACGAAATTTGTGAAAAGTTGGTTAATCTTCTATACAAAAAGACTAATATTTGGGTTGTCAATGAAGCACAAATGACAAATAAAAACTCCTATCGTGACTGTGTGAAAAACTTTTACAATCATGATATAGATTTTGTTGTCATCTGTTTGCATCCAATGTGCAGCATTAAGTGGATACAAAACCTTGAATATTGGTTTAAGGACTTAGATATTTCAATGTTTTTAATTGATCCACCGGTCAACTACAAACCCTTAGCACCTCGCTGCATTATATATGGTTTGGTACCAGTTTTACCATTGATTGGTTTTAATCCGAAAAATTATGATGAGCTATTTTTGTGCAATTTGTGTATTTCTGATCAAATTATTAATAACGTCGTCGGATGTTATGAAAATCCTTTTGATGATAATATTTTTGTTCCACTTGTTGATGCCATCAGAATGGACAAAAAGACGGAGTAAAATTGTGCCAAATATTTTATATATATTTTTTATTTTTCAAATTATATGTACAATAAATTTACATAATGAAGTTTAATAAAAATGAGACAATTATGGGATTTTATATAAGTTTCAATGAAAGTAATTTATTTTGCAAGTAAATGGATTAAATGAAAAAATTGTAAGTGTTGTTCCCGAAACATTTTGCGAGGCTAGAAAACATTCTATAATTGATTACAAAAAATTGAATATTATACTGTGGAAATATGCCAGATCTTAATTAACATTCTATTTTATTCAGAAATAAAATATATAAAAACCTACAAGCGGCTTATTACATTCCGCATGAATTTTTAATTCTATACCACTGAAAATAACAAACTCAGATAATGTTTGTATAATCCAAGTAATCCTCTTTGTTCTGGTTGTTCTTAAATTCTATAAAAGAAAGGAGAATACTGTGTTCTACACAAAAATCCACACAAAAATTCTGACGACATCACTAGTGTGGCTACTCCTATCCTGGCTAGTATGTTCAGATACCCAGAGATTTGATTTGCCAAACAGGTTTATTTGATCAAGGCATTCTTGCACCAGTCTTGAGATCACCTGATGCGAGTTCAGTAGCTTGATAGTCACTTGGCAGTATTACGAAATTTTTTCACTGGTATTTCCGTTCAATATTGAAACATTCGCACCTAAATATTTCGTAAATTTTCGCTTAGCAGATGCTAGTAATAATTTCCAGTGCTTACCAATGCTTCTTGCCTAGTCCGACTATGCCCGCTCCGGCATCTTCTTCCGTAAGCCATCTGTGAGCCATGTGTTTGTGTTCTTTATTAGCTGATAGGTTTAATTGATGCTCCCCAGTTTCTTTTGCCGCTGAATTTTAGCTTCATCGTGTCTCATAGCATTGAAAAACTTGGACAGTGTTTAGTATGATTTTCGAACCTTTTGCGATTAAATCAGCTGTCCGTTAGATTTCATTCATTCTCTGCTCTTTTCTCTTGGAACCTAATGTATATCGACAAAGGTGTGAGTTCTAGAAGAAACACAATGGCACACTTGTCTTGGTGCAGTTGCAGTACATATATCAGATAGTCATATGTTATATGGAATGATCCTTGTATCAAAACTCTAAGCTTCATTGGAAGTTAATGAAAGTATGTATAAGAAGAACAATATTCTGAAATAATATTTCAACAATTTGCCTTTTTCATCTTTTATAAATACAATTCTAAATTAGCTTAAATTAAGGAAGATTCTATTAAAATCTTGAACGTTTAATATTCGAAATTATGTAAAAAAAGCACGTATAAATTTTATTGTATTTTTCTATATTTTCTTGCTGAAATCGTAAAACGTGTATGTTATATTTAATATATCAAAACTGAACTGCCGTTTAAGTACATCAAATTAAAATAACAAAACATAATTTTATTGTTAGTATTGAAAAGGATATGTTTTTATTGGTAGCGCATGTGCTTGCTTGCAGAATTGACAGTATTAAAATTTATTATCGAAGTTGAACGTGATTTCACTTTGAATTGCACTGAGCCACAATAGCATAATACGAGTAATAAGAAAGATAAACTTCAATACAAACTCTTAATAGCTACTAAAGTGAAAATGTTCACAACCGAAACTTTTAAAATCTGTTATTGTTTGCTCTGCTCGCTTCGGAGAGAATAAAGAAAAGATACTTTTACTGCAACGTCAATTTTATGCTTTACAACTGACAACCACAGTAAGCTGCAGTAACAATCAAAACGCTTTGCTAGCATCGGGCATCTCGCATCTGGCATCTGGCAAATGTCAGCTGCCAAGCAGATATGCAGCAGCGCTGATAAGTGCGAATTGCCTGCACATTAAATTTATACGATAATCATAACAGTAGCAAACAGAAATCCTTGCACACTCACACAGATATAAGCTTTGTGTACGCGATGTATGTACGCTACTTCCGCCGGAAATACATGCAAGCGTTCACTTTTACTCTATGTGAGAGTTAAGTCAAACAATGTTGGTTAAATTATTTTGTTGTGTTTAGGGAAACCGCAAAAATTTACGAAATTTGAAAATAATTTGAAAATTAACTTTACTTCCGTTCTGCTAAGTCATTTTAGGTACTTTCCACACACAAACACATGAACACTTCAAACTTGGTGAACAGCGGAACTGTGTACTCGAAATTTGTATAAATTTTCATTTTATATTATGTATGTATGGAAAAAAGTAAAAAGTAAAATGAAAATAAAGTGAAAAAAACAAAAAATAAAAAAAAATTTACATAAGCCGCTTGTAGTACGCCTGCTACCGCGGCGCGGCATTTAGAGTCCTGCCAGTGAGTCCTTGTTTTATGTTTGTTGTTTCTCGCATCGTCTGCGCTTCTGCTATGAGTTACGTTTTATTTTCATTTATTATTTGCTTTGATTACCTTATTTATTTGAATTTGATTATGTAGAAACATAGTCAAAAGCGACAGCGAACACATTTTATTGCGTTCCTAATTTACATAAACACACGTGCGAAAGCTTAAGTGAAATCTATTGAATAAATCAAAACTTGAGATAAAAACTTTTCGGTTTGATTTCGGTTTCATAGTCGTACCTTTTTGTTGTCCTTTGGCAATAAACGTAGTTGAGCAAAAAAGTATTTTTTGAGTTGAATTGCAATCTTAAATCGTTTTTGTGGCACGACATCGATCTCATGTAAGTTAGACAAATTATTGTCTGAAACATTTTTCCATTTACCGAAACAATAGGCTTAAATAAAGTCTTTGTTATCTGGTTAGGAAGTGAGTTGCACTACTCAAATAATTAGAAAATAACACACGTTTCATTCAGAAACTTGAATAACATTGGAAACTTGGAAAATAAGTAAGCACAATCTCGAGTAATTAAAAAATATCCTGTTGAAACTATAGAATCCTTGTACATAAACAATTTCAGTTATATTACGTAGCAGAATGTGAACATTTCTTTAGTAATTAGAAATTATCTCGTTTAAGAGACTCAATCCTTTCACATGTGCAACTGCAGTCATATCAACAGAGCAACATTAACATTAGTGAAATGTAGAAAAATCCTACACGGAGGTTCAGTTGCATTAACTTTGTCCTTAATTACTTAACGCTGTCACTTTTTAACTACACATTGTACTTAAAATCTTCCCAGTATAATCAACTACATAATATCTTCATTACATAGTTTTGTCAGTAAAACAAAGAAAAATGCAAAAAACAAATTTTCTTAAGGGGTTTCAAACAATACTAAATTAAAACAACAAAATTTTTTATTATTTTTAATTTAAATATATCACAACCTTTAAAATAAAATCCTTCTGTTGTTATGTAATATACTTCATGTATTAATATTAATTGACAACTCTAGCCTTAAGCCATGTAATTCTGTCAAATTGTTGTAAAAATTTAAATATTGTGTACAAAGTTCGAAATTTATTACCAAAATAGGTTCCCTAACAAAATTGCTTTTTGTAAAGTATTAATTAATCAAGCATTAAATTAATTAACATTAACGCTTATGTAGTATTCAGACTATCAAGAAGTTTTGACTTAAAAACATATCCACAAAAAAACCATGATGTTGTAAATAATTCTCATAAACTTGAGTAAAACCAAGTGAAATATTGATGCAGCGTTCGAAATTTTCATTTATGATCCCCACTAAAATAACAAAAATAACCAAATTAAGGTAAAATTAAGCTTTACTATGTGAACAGTGAAATAAACAAAAATTACAAGAAGAATTATGTCTACTTGTATTATATAAATTGTATGCAAAAGTGTTAAGCACATTCAAGTTCCACTCTCTCTTGCTCAAATTTATTCTAACGACCGAAATTGAACATGCTCACATTCAACAGTTCTTATTCAAGCAAAAATTTTGAAGAATAAGGGTGTTTACGCACGCTGTAAGTGTGTTTCGCTAGCTATAAGTGTGTTAGTGCAATCATGCAAAAATATGGTCTTGTATAACGAATGTAATTTATTAGGTGACAGACTGTCATTCACAACATGTTAGCAAGAAGTTGAATGATGAGCTCACCAAAATATTGGTGAGCACGCCAACATGTTGGTAGCGTGTCATTAAAATGTACAGACTATCATTTTTGAGTGTCATTCTTAGATTTTCTCTCTTCACTGACACCGCGCTTTAACAACTAATTAACTTTCCAAAATCATGATTTTATTAGAGAATTTAATGCATTTTCAAATACACTGGAACTTATTTATAAAAAATATAAAATAAATTTTCTATTTTTATAAAAATTTTTTAAACATTTTGTAAGTTATAGCCCACTGTAATAAATTTTAAGAGTAGGTCGTAACAACGTACTTTAAAAACTTTTTTTTTTTGTATTTATTCGAAGTACTTTTTGTGCCTAAAAGTATCTAAGTACATCGAAGATATTCATCAACATGAAAAGAGTGCTGACATGAGGCTTCCTATATAATCGTACCTTTTATTAATTCATGTGTAAAAATCAGAGGAAATAAAACGGTTGCTTTAAAATTTTAACTTAGAGATAGAAAAACGAAAATTATAAAAGCACTGGGAAAATGCAAAATGATATTGAAAAATTGCTTAGGTAAGTTTTAAATAAAAAAAAAATTATTAAAAAAAAATAAAAAACTTTCTTCTTTTAATTTTCACAACATTAAGCACATAAAATATTTTGGGTTTATTAGAAGCAAAGTTAAGGTCCTTAATTTTATTTGCCATTTAAGCACATGTTACAGAGAATCGCTATAAAAAATTTGATTATTAATTTCTTTGCTCCTTTTTAATTTAATTTTATTCATTTTATTTTCATTTTCCATTGTTGCCCTGAAGTTTTATATTTGCTTTGTGTGTGTTTATAACAAATATTTCTTTTTTATTTTATTTTCTTCTTCAACATTCACTTTTAACATTTTTAACATTTTTGCTGCTGACTAATTAGCTCTTTTACGTTTTTCAGTTGAAAAAGAAAATTAGTTCGGGTGTAGCGCTTAAGCGTAGACTTAATTAACATAAAAAATGTGCTGGAAATCACTCTTTTTATTGCCAAATATGCAGTTGTTGACATAAGGTTATGT